GGATGTGCCTGCTGGTGGTAGTAACAACTTTTCTAATAGAGGAAGCTGGGTGAACAGATATGACCAGGACGAGCGGGGATTTCATAGTTATCTGTCTCTCTTTATGGCCCCAAATCCCTGTGCATTAGAACTAACCCTCTTCCTGGTGTCCCGTAGCTTTCTCTTCCTTCTTGAACAGCCTGGAGTTGCAGGGGCGAGGCCTGGTTTTATTGAAGGCTCTCAGCCTCTCCCTTAGGGAGAAATTCTCGCATGTGCTCACTTTTTCCAGTGGTCTTTCTGGTCTGATTTAATGGCTATACCAGGACTGATGACACATCAGCATGGGATCTTTCTTTGCTTCTTGGGTAAATGTCCTATTAACAGCTGTCCCAGGCAAAGGGGGCGGGGGCGTCAGGGGACGGGAGGAGTGGTAGCTTCCTGGGAGAAGGACACACCCTGAATTTTACAAGGTTAATCACTGGGTCCTGGGAAGAAGGTTTGCACCTGCTCAGACTTGATCAGGAACTCTAGACAGAATGGAAGATAGTCTTTCGATCTCCACTCCCTGCCTTGGAGTATTAAATATCCTGGGTACCCACACCCTGCCAGGCCCAACGGCCTGCTGCTGACTGATATTTTCTCTGTATCTATATGGTATTCTCCTCAGTCCTTACAAGGGGCCAGCAATTCTTTGTCTTTTCTTTTTTCTTCCCACCTTTGTGTAATTGCTAAGCAGTAAACTTTTTTTAAACTACCAATAATAGTTCCTTTAACCCAATAACAGTTCCTAATCCATCTCTTTCCCCTCTACACTCAAATAATTATTATACACCTTTCAACACAGTACTTGAAGTTGGGAGGCAAAAGAATGTGAATGGGATAGTGGGCAAAAACAAGAGACCTCTCCACCCCCCTCTAAGAATTAAACACCTTGCTGACTGGCTCTTTCAAGCCAGAACTCACCCATGGTACTTTTCCATCGTGACTGGTCGGCAAGGTGTTTAAAGTTACTTAAATTAATGTAAGTGCAGAGAGTTATCTCGTGACCGGTCAGCAACGTTCAGACACAGAAACACGTGTATACTTGTGGGCGGTCAGCAACGTGTTACATAGAGCGCCTCATATTCTCTCAGCGTTGGCCACTCCCTCCACACCCAGCACCCCAGAAAAGAGAGAAAGGAAAGGAGAGGATGGGTAAGAGTGCCGCCTCAAGAAACTGAATCATTAAAAAGTGACCAAATGAATTTAGGCTTTCAAAGTTATGTGACAGTATCCCGTTATCTCCCCAGTGCGGCTTCCCATCTATAGCTGCAATTTCATTTCAGTGAATATTTATCTCATGTATCTGATTTCATGTTAATCATATATCCATTATATGACTTCATTTTTTTTTTTTTAAACATATCTTTATTGATTTCAGACAGAGGAAGGGAGAGGGAAAGAGAGAGATAGAAACATCAATGATGAGAGAGTCATTGATCTGCTGCAGCCCACAATCCGGGCATGTGCCCTGACCGGGAATCGAATCCTGATCGCCTGGATCCTAGGTCGACGCTCAACCGCTGAGCCACGCCTGGCCGGGCATGACTTCATTTCTTGTCCTAGGGACCTGGTACCCTGCTATACAGCTCAAAAAAAACCTTGGAAAATACAAACGGACTTTTCCAAAACTCCCCAGAAAGGACCTTCTAGTTTTAAAAAATCCTCATCCAAGGATATGTCCATTGATTTTAGAGAAGGGAAGGGGCGGGGGAGAGAGAAACATCAATGTGAGAAACATCTGTTGGTTGCCTCCTGTACACATACACCCCGGCCAGGATTGAACCCAAAACCTAGGTATGTGCCCTGACCGGGAATGGAACCCACAACCATTTGGTGTATCGGACAATGCTTCTAATTAACTTAGCCACCCAGCCAGGGCATTTTGTTTTTTTTTTGTTTTTTAAGTTGTGTCAGAGTTTAAATTTGTTCTGTATTTGCTGTCAAACAAATGACCACACTTAGTGTGCAACCTCTCATGCTACCTTCTCAAAATAGTCATGTATTTAAGCCCTGTAACTTTAGTCCAGCCTTGGTATCTTTCAGTTCTATGGTTTTTAAAAATTTCCTTCTCAGTCCCTCTTAGTATGTTCTTAGAGTTAACGATCACATCTCATTTCTCCTCCTTTTTATCCATTAGTATTAACCCTCATGGTCTTATTAATTTAGAGGCTGAATGGTCTCCTGTTTTGAATGGTCTCCTGTTTCCTTGGTAACATGCCATATCCTTCAAAACCCACCTCCTTCAAGTATTAATTTCTGCTTTTAACAGAAACTTCTAATGACAGGCCTGTCTGCTTGAGCTCTCCTTCAATTATTCAGTAAGCATTTATTGAGGATCTACTAAGTTCCAGGCACTGTTCTAGGTTTTGGAGACTCAACAGTTAATGCACAAAATTCTAGTCCTCATGGAGTACAGGCTTGTAGCAAAAGGAATAACTAAAACATGTGCTCTTTGAATCAGTGTTTGAAATGGGTAACTAGCTGGGTAGTTTTCTGAGGATTCAGTGAATGGATGTTGGTGTATATTTCTATGTGGCGAAAGTGCTTTATAATCCGTGAAACACCCCAAATTAAGCCTCCCAACTCTCCAAACACATGATGGAGTCAATGCTCTTATTTAACAACTTACCAGTTGGCCTCCTCCTTAGTTGTAGAAGGACCAATAGATTACTAGGATCTTTCTGAGAGTCAAGAATTTGAGTTGACGCCTTTTTGTCCTACAGCTGGGAACAACGCACTACAAACTCCAACTCAGTGAATGCCTGAATGTGGTCTTCCGACTAGCTGCATTATAATTACCCAAGTTGTACACTGGCCGGTGTGGCTCGGTTGGAACGTTGTACTGTGCACCGAAAGGTTGCCAGTTGGTTGGATTCTGTTCAGGGCACATGCCTAGTTTGCAGGTTCCATCCAATTGGGGCTTGTACAGGAGGCAACTGACCTATGTTTCTCTCACATAAAAGTTTCTCTCTCTCTCCCCCCTTACGCTCTCTAAAAACCAGTAAAAACATATCCTCAGTGAGGATTGAAAAAAATTTTTTTAAAAAAAATTACCAAAGTCCTTTAATAGGCAGGTTATCAGACTGCCACCCCGGGGTAAGTGAATTAGATTCTCTAGTCTGTGGCTTCAGAATTTGCAGGTTTAACAAGTTCCCCAAGTGATGCTGGGGATAAACAAATGTTCAAAAATCACAGATGTTGGTTAGACGAGATGAGGAGAAATTGAGAAAAGTTCCTGAAAGGCAAGACTAAGCTCCGTGGGAGGTTGGGAGGGGGAGACCAGAGAGGGAAGGCGGCGCTCTTCCGGGTGTCTTTTATCAAGACAAAAATCGCTAATTACACCACATCCCTCACACTACCAACGTCGTACCACCGTCGTGGCAACTCGTTACCGGGGCTGTTCCCGCGATGTGGACCTAGCCTGGGACAGGGACGTAACCAGCCTAAGTCGGCGAGGGGAGTTCTGCCTGGCCCACACGAAGCGGAAGCTGGCAAAGTGTTTTCCGCCGCCAGCACCCAAAATGGCGGCACGAGCGTCGCCACCATGCGAAACACATGCTCTGTACTTCGTCTCGACCCCCTCGGGTCTCACTGGGCTTTTGCAAGTCACCGTAGGAACCCTCAAAGGGGGGATTCCACGCTCCGGCGGCGATACTGCCTCCCAACCCTAGGCCCTTTTCCCCCAACCGAAGAAGGCACTGGAAGCGCTCTGCCTGCACACTTTGCGCGTTACCCAGCTTGTACTACCTCCTGCAGCCCGCGCAAGGCAGAGGGGGGCCATCATGCCCGGAGCGATAAGGCCTTCGCCCCACTTATTGGTGGGCCCACACCGTGGGGCGGGCGTGCACTCCCATTGGGCCGTGGATCACGCCTGTCTTGGGAAGTCGGAAAAAGGAGGAGGCAACTCAGCTATTGGGCTCTCTCTGCTGTCAATCAAAGTGACATCCGGCGACGGCCACGGTCTCGGCTGGTTGATTGGAGAAACGTGTTGGCCGTGAAGGGCGGGCTTTCGAGTGAGGTGGGCGGAGGGGGCGGGGA